ATAGATCATAGATCACCATCGATCACCATGTACATGGATCAAACACACTATAGATCACACACACCGCTGAGCGAGGCATGAATTGAACATCGTGCCATGGTGGCGGCGGCTCTGCAAGCCAACGTTCGAGCAGAGCATATAAATCAACGTTGATTTAGGCCTATATGCTCTGGTTCGAGCCTGCACGCACGCACGCACGCACGCTCGAACGCTCGCTTACGGGCGACTCTGTCGTGGCGTCACGGCAACGCACTCACACTTCACCTGTCACGCTCATCGCCGCCGAACGAAAGAGAGAGGGAGGGAGGGAGAGAGGGTGGGAGAGAGAGAGGGTGGGAGAGAGGAGGAGACAGAGAGAAGGGGAGAGAGAGGGAGCGACAGAGAGAGGGGAGAGAGAGAGATAGAGTGGGGAGAGGAGTGAAAAGAGAACGGGAGATCTTAGAGAGAGAAGAGAGAGAGAGAGAGGAGAGAAACAAGAGAGAGAGAAAGAGAGAGGAGAGGAGAGAGAGAGAGAGGAGAGAGAGAGAGAGAGGAGAAGACGGGAGAGAACGACCCAGAGAGAGAGAGAAAGATCAAGAGAAAGACGCGCGCGCAGCGGTAACGGCAGATAGATAACGGCGTTAGACACACGAATCGAAGACGATACAGTTGGAGACACCTCAGATGTGGGCGAACTTCTTAATGGGAACTCAGCATACGTGCTGCGGCTCTACGATACACCACGACATCCGGCCCCGCCGAGTTTACCACCCGTAGACTGCTGCCGTCACCGAAAATCGACCTCCACCACCTGCCAAAATGGTACTGCGGCGACAGTCTATTAACGAGTTTCCTATTGCGGATCAGCCAGAAGATGGAATTTTTGCGAATGGCTGTGTCAATGGCGGCACCTGAATTTTCTTCGCTTCCCCGCCCCCCGTGCGTGATGACTATGCTATCCAATTACGCCTGCTGTTCACGCTCTTTGTTATACGCGGGCGCAAACGACGCGGCTCGACGTTTTTTGTGGTGATCGTATGTGGCGCGAAACAATGGGAAGCTTCCTTGTTCCGTATGCGCGCACTAATAGCTGTGCTATCATCATCATCATCATCATCATCACCATCATCATCATCATCATCATCATCTTCATCATCATCATCATCTTCATTATCATCAGCAGCAGCAGCAGCATGTAATTTCCCCTCCGTTTTAAAACGAGAGCAACTGAGGGGGAGGGGGGAGAACACACTGTTACACGTTTATTGGTCTTCCGTTTGCTGCTACCGCTGCTGCTGCTACCGCTGCTGCTGCTACCGCTGCTGCTGCTACCGCTGCTGCTGCTGCTACTGCTGCTGCTGCTACCGCTGCTGCTGCTACCGCTGCTGCTGCTGCTGCTGCTGCTGCTGCTGCTGCTGCTACTGCTGCTACTGCTATTGATCCTGCTGCTATTGGTGCTGGAGCTAACCTACTACTGTTGTTACAATGGATAATGCTGCTGCTGTTGTTGCTGCAACTACTATTACCTAGGTTGCCCCTTCCACTGCTGCTACAAACTCTCTACTTTGTTCTGCTACAAATACCTGGATCTTCTTAAATCTATATGTCAACAAGCCGTTGGCAAGGTGCAAGCAGTACTTACGCGAGTCACACAGATACCCTGTTGTTAGGTGCAGCATGTAAACGCAGCGAGTGAAACTTCCTCCCACACACTACAAGGATTTATGATTTCGTGTGCTTTGAAATTTGGCAATTGAGTTTGGACAGTAAAATGTAACTAAGACATTCCAAGTTTCACAGCAAGACACATGCTAGATGCTTGCCTTTATTTTTCCTTGCAACCTTCACAAGTAAAGATATGAAAGTTCAGTCCTTATCTCAAGTTGAAAATATAATTGGGCTGTTCTTAGTCCATACCAATAGAAAATATAATCCATGCATCTTTTGGTGAAATCACAATCATAGAACGAAGCTTCTCACTGTATCCATCAGATGGTTGTCTGTAAAAACCTTTAGACTCTAAACCTCTGAGGTTGAATATTTGTACTTATTCTACGAAAATAACACCACAAGACCCTCCTTTCATAGGATATTGCTATCGAAAAATCAAAACTTATATCCTTCTTGAAGGTTAAAAGACCACCAGACAGGAACTGTTTCAATATCAGTGGCAACTGCAAGCGAATTTCATTTTTTAAATTTTATAGAATTATCCTACATGACAATATGAAATGGATCACCACACTACTGTTAAACCACAGTGAAATCTGTCATTGGTTTAAATTCAGCTTGAATTTCTTCTCTCAATCAATAATACCTAGACTAATGCCAGTTACTATGAGTCATTCCTATACCAGTATGTAAATATAACCTAAGAGATACTCCAGCGCCCGATTTAGAAGCATGCGACTTAATAATAGTACATATTTCAAGTACAGGACTCACATAGTTCCGTTTTATTTACTGCTTGGGAAGGTCTAACTAAATCGAGCTCAAATCACCATACTTCAAAAAATACACGGATATCATTATCTTAATTAAGCTCCTCTGCGAAAATACTCTATACCTTATACGGTCGAATCACAGTTACGGTAAAGGACTGTACAGCAGCCATCGAATTGTTATCTTTAACGGTTCCCGTGCCAACAAACTTTGATACACTTGCAGGTGAGAGATCCGACTTATCAGCACAGTGCTATCTGAGTTCTCCTGTGTTCACGGTCCACATACTAGGAAGTAGCGTCTTTAACTACGAGCACTGCAAACATACAAGGGGAATGACAGGTTTGTAAACACGCAGCAACGAAATAAATACTCACGTGATAGTGACGGTGATACGGAATAATGTCACGTAGTCATTCCACTGATTCAGAATTTATGCATGTAAACAATGAATTTTTTCCCAGTGACGTGCAAAATTCCACACACAAAATTATATGCTAGTGTATACCAATAAATGTTTCCAAAATTTATAAACAAGTGCTACATAGGAATACAAATGAACAACTTAATTTAGCAGGCAATCCTCCTGTGTCATTCTTGAAAGTAGCCCTATGCATCGGTGCATCAATGATTGATCATGCATCAATGATTGATCATGCATCGGTGCATCGATGATTGATCATGCATCGGGGCATCAATGATTGATCATGCATCAATAATTGATCATGTATCGGTGCATCGATGATCGATCATGCATCGGTGCAGCGATGATTGATCATGCATCGGTGCATCGATGATTGATCTTGCATCGATGATTGATCATGCATCGATGATTGATCTTGCATCGGTGCATCGATGATTGATCATACATCGATGATCGATCATGCATCGGTGCGTTGATGGTGTGTTTACAGAGCAACGCTCATGAGTCGCATGCCGGCTCCCTCACGCTGTCCAACCTCGACACGGTCAAGCTGCCACGACACGCCGGCATACACCGCGAGCTGCTGCCATACGCCGTTCTCATGAGCTGGCTCAGACTCGCCGAACCCAACAGCTACGCGCAGCTGATGAAGGTAGGGGGCGCTAGGAGCCGCGCGGCGATCCCGCCGGAGGGGGGGATATTTTTGATGACGTTAATGCTTTGCACTAATAATTATAATAATAACGACGCTGAAGATAATGACGTTAGTGACAACAATAACAACAACAACAATAATGACGACGAAGACGAAGACGACGACAACAGCAACCGCAGCAACAACAACAATAATAATAACAACAACAACAACTACTACAACAACCATAATAACTGTACACGTACTGCAACTGTAATGGTAAAAAATCGAAAATCCGTATTTGTAGAGATAATTAATAAAGCTAATATGCTAACGAGTGTTTCTCATTTTTCTCCGCATCTCTGCGGAACTTGAAACAGTTTCTATCGGGTGGTTACGTAAAGCTTGGTATTTTACAGCTGTATATAACATCGGTGAACAAGATGTACGAGAGAGAGGTGCGGCATTTCATAGAGACGGCCAGGATGAGTCTAGTCGGGCGCGGACCGGAGAGGAGGCACAGTAAGCACCTTCTCTTGTGATGATTACATGGTCTTCCTTCCTTACTTATAGTACAGATAGCGCATTCTCTCTCATAATCTTGTAGTCACCGATGTATATGGTACATACATTGGTTCGTGCGAGACAAGTAACAGAAATTATCAAACCGAAGGTCGTTGTTAACTTTATAATGAAATTCCATTGAGTGATAAGCTCGTCAAATCCAAATGGGTGATAGTGGAAATGTATCTGAGTCGTATAGAGCTGGTGCAGGCTTAGGTACACACCTTAGTGTAGTAGTTGCAATGGATCTGTGTCGTGTAGAGGCGGTCCAGGCCTCTGCTACACTTGTGGGGTAGTGGCAGTAGATCTGCGTATCACATAGAGACGGTCCAGCCATCCTCTTTCACACACGGTGGTAGGTTGCAGTGGAGCTACGCTTCATAGAGATGGTTCAGCCTTCCTATTTCACACATGGGGGGGTAGGGTGACAGTGGGCCTGCATCATTAGAGACAGGGGTAGGCCTCACCACCTTCTCTCTCCCCCTGCAGGCGTCGCCTTCCCCGCATCGTTCGGCGCTGCCGCATCGCACGCGGCTCTCTCCCCGTCGTCCGCCATGACGGTTGGCGAGGTGGGGGAGCTGGGGTTCGGAGCGGACCAGGCGGAACACTCGAAGTTCGACCGCGCGCTCGATAAGATCCTCGCTGAGATGGAGCCGATGTGCCTCGCTGAGCAGACGTTCTGCACTCAGCTGTTCGGGCTGAAGGGAGAGGTAACGCGTGTGCACGGCGGTCGCTCCATTATATGTATGTGTGTATATTGTATATAGTATAGCAGTCACAGTGCCATTACCATTTGGCACTATACGTGCATGTAAATTATTAGTTCTATCAAGGGCGAATAATGACAAATTTGTCAATATTGACCCCCGGCTCTACCCATGGGCCATGTTGTTGTGGAGCGAACAGCTACACAGGCAGAGGTAAAACATTATAATATAGCAGTTTATCTTTATATAGGAGGGGACGATCTGAAGTGACACCATGGCAGCAATCAGACATTCCCTGCAGAAGAGTGTGTTCCTTCCCAGCGACGAGCGACTGGTCGGCGTTGTTCACGTCACCAAGGCCGCGAAGAAGAAGAAACAAAGCTTCCTCTGTGCTGCAGGTATATGTGCCTTAGAGAAGTGGAACAGTTCAAATATCTATCCCATAATGATGATCCTGGGAACTCATATAGCCAATAAATGTACTGTAAAGACACGTAGAGGCTGTGTCTTGCATTTCTGTCTTCGATGACATATTGCTGGTATATGTATCTACACATGTATATTGTGGGGGTTTGGAGATCAGTCGAGTAATGAACTGCGTCACATTTTTGTTGCAAAAATTTTACCTGGAAACTCTGTTGCTTTCTCTTACCAAGTTACGACAGAAAGGCCAGTAAAGGTGACCCTGTACAAGATCAAAAAGAGTGAAAAGGGTGATATATACAAGAAGGAGAGGGCATGGTCCCTGAAAGATCTGAAGAAATTTGATGGGAAAGATGTTAAGAAGGTTATTGATTATGTCTTTATGGTGTTGATGTTATCCTAGTTGAATGTAATGAGTTGTATCAATATACAAACATATAATTATTGTGAATGACTTAATTGTTTAATAAATAAGTGCGTTGAAAGCCTGTAGAATAGAATTAGTTCATGTAAGAAGTGGAGAAAAATACTATGAATGTTAAATGTGCCGTAAATGCATTTTCTAGGATACTGCAGAGTTCGATTTACACTTTGAGAAAGTGTACAGGTGGATTGCAAGCAGCGTGCAAGAGAAGAATGTGTTCATCAGCTGTGTTTACAAGGTTAATTATTAATTTGCAATACCAATAAGATATGGCTATCAGTTCAAAGAATTATTACCATGACAGGTTTCTACGTAGGACACGTTTTAATGCAGTAAATTTGTGTGTTAAGATTTTATATTCGTGGGCTATCGTGATTGAAAGAGATTGAGTGAAGATTTAAAGTGAAATTATGAGTGGGTTTATCTGCATCAGCAGTGCAGTTCCAGTTGTGGTGAAGTGCTTAAACCAATTATTGAGATCGTTCGTTTGTTGTAGCTGATCACCAGGTATCTGCCTCATCACAAGCCAGAGTTCGAAAATGTTGCTCAAGCACTTCTCATAGGTGCGTACGTATCTCTAGTGGTGCTTCCAGCATTTATATTCACCACTGTCATCGCAAGCTGATGAAACATACAGTTGAAAAACTGGAAAATCGCTTTAGAATCCAGTGTTTACGCTTGAGATGTAAAACAGTGATGTGCTTACTTGGCATGCACGCATGCTTCATAATAATTTAACACTGATAATGCACTGGATGTTTCTTTGCGGGAAAGGTTTTAGTGACGGTTTGGTGGTTGTATAGTATAAAGAACTGTGTCTTGCGTTGGCAGATGCTTCCATGCAGAGCGATGCTGCAGCCCCAGCACCAAGCATCGATGCGGTGGATGGCCAGGAATACCAGGCAAGTGTAGAAGGCTCTATACCACTCTGCTTCGGGGCTCCAATCCAAGCCACATGATTGTAGACATGTACAGGTTCCAGTGTAGAGCCACATATCTGTGAGGCGTAATTTGAATATTTACGGTGCCCACATGCCTTAGGTTTTTAATACTGCTTATTAATTTTACGGTAGATTTGTTTTTGTGTGCGGTAGAGTTGCGGTTGGGATTAGGTGTTGCTAAACGAGCACAAGTTTCACGAATTACCTATTCACCGATCCAGAATACCCGAACGAATGTTAGTCATCACTTTCTCTACGTTTCGATTTTACATTCTGAAGATCCTTGCCTGGATCTACAGTACGTCCATGTTGGAATTTAGTTTCGTGGCTAGCGATCATTGACACGCCTAACATCAGATGCTAGTTTGACGTGTGTGTTTGATGAACAGGCATTGTCGGCAAAGGAGGAACTTGACCTGGAGAAGCTCATGGGTGAGGCAAATACATCGATCAGCAATGCTGAGCAGTTCGCAGAAGAGCTAGCGAAGGACTTGTCGGTGCTGGATGGGGTGAGTGCAACCAGTGAGATGTAGCACACCGCTGCACACGTTTACTACTTTACAGCGCGTACGAACGCTCGCCTACGCACGCACACGTAACAGTGTAGACTTACACAATATACCGTCACAGTTCTATCTTCTGATTTGTTCTCCTGAAAAAGACTGTCTTCAGTACATGTATTTGTATTTGAATTACATGCAATACAAATTTAATAATAAAAATAATAAAAATCTCTCTATGGCAGGTTGCCAACATTAGACACACGTACAATATTACTCTATGGTAAATGTCGGATATTATCATAACTTGTACTTGGCAACTGTCATACTTGCTTCTGACCAAAAACTTCATCTTCAACACTGAGCAGCAACACAGGTGGCAGCATCCTGCTCATCTGTCGCCGTGCTATTTCGCCCGCAGGCTAACCTGCGATCGCTGATGGCGTCCGAGCAGCAGGTCTCGGACATCATGGCCCTGCTAGAGAGGGGCATTCTCGAGGCTGACCGCATAGAGGCAAGGCTGGACAAGTACGATCTACTCCTACAGGTGCACGAGACTCCATTGTCGTCGTCCAGGGGCCGCTGACTGAGCGTCTCAGTCGTGAATTCGTCGCGCAAGATGACAGTTTGAATTTTTGGCTCAGCTGACGAAGTCAGATGCAGCTTGTAGAAGAATCACATGAATGTCCGTCCGTGCATCCGTCCGTGTGTCAACGGTTATGGAATAAATCTTAATTTAATTTTGTTTAATACCCTTTCGGGCCTCCACTTCACATGTCTGTCATTTAAAACAGCAACGACATTATAACTAGCGACATTAGTTTGCACGGATGCTCATGGCGTTGCCGTGGTTACAGGGCGTGAAAGACTACATGGAGTCTGTGACGGAGAAGGACAGCATGATCAACGTGCAGACGACAAACAAGAACAAGTTGATGAGTTGCCTTGACAACATGATCGTAAGTCTGCGCCGCCTCGCCTCGCCGTGACGTCACCCAACCGTCACGTCACGATTGTCTGTTAGCTTATAGTTAAATTTAGTTGTTAGGTGTAGTTACTAGTTGTTAGTTGTAGTTAAAGTTGGTCATTAGTTACAGTTAAACTGTGCACAGCTGCCACTCACGATTAACCAGAAAATTAACTCCAAAGTACGTCATCTCACATTAAAAGTGAACAAATATTGCCATCAACTTCATCACGTTTCGTCACTTTTGCACTGAAGCGCGTGAGTCGCTCTCCGACACTCTATCTTAACGGGGAGCGTGACTTAACTTCGTGAATTACGGGCGATTCTCTGCGAATTATCCGTTAGCGGAGTGATCTCACGCTACCGCCTTTATTCGCGTCCCGCTAATTAATTCCTCGTTTGTTTGCATCTCGTTAACAGCAACAGCTGGATCTGGCGCACACTCACAAGAGGGCGTTGCTTGACGGCGACCTGAGCCAGCCGACGGGACTGCGCGAGTGCTGCCAGGCGGCGCTAGCGCTCAGCAAGGCCATGAGCGTCGACCTAGTAAGTGCCTCTGACCTTGACATGGGTGGGTGCCCCGACCTTGACATGGGTGGGTGCCCACGACCTTGACATGGGTGGGTGCCCACGACCTTGACATGGGTGGGTGCTCCCACCTTGACATGGGTGGGTGCCCACGACCTTGACATGGGTGGGTGCCCACGACCTTGACATGGGTGCGTGCCCCGACCTTGACATGGGTGGGTGCTCCCACCTTGACTTGGGTGGGTGCCACGACCTTGACATGGGTGGGTGCCCCGACCTTAGACATGGGTGGGTGCCCCGACCTTGACATGGGTAGGTGCCCACGACCTTGACATGGTGGGTGCCCCGACCTTGACATGGTGCCTGCCCCGACCTTGCATGGTGGGTGCCCATGACTTGACATGGGTGGGTGCCCCCGACCTTGACATGGGTGGGTGCCCACGACCTTGACATGGGTGCGTGCCCCGACCTTTACATGGGGGGTGCCCACGACCTTAACATGTGGTGCCTGCCCCGACCTTGACATGGGTGCGTGCCCCGACCTTGACATGGGTGGGTGCTCCCACCTTGACTTGGGTGGTGGCTCGACCTTGGAATAATACACAAATTTCTTTAGGCAAAAGTGCGTTAAAATTTTACGAGACGCATGTGGTTGTATGGGATTATATCTTGGTAGAGAAGGTCTGATACCAGCTTGCACTGCATGGGTTTCATCTATCTGATGTTTTTCTCTTCCGTGTTTTTTCGATGACAGGCCTCTACCGGTTGACCGCGGTGCAAGACCAGATGAAGTTATTCGACAAGCTTCGTCAGACGTTCGCCAAACGACTCTCCCACCAGCTCAACAATCTCATCATCCACCTGGTACACCCTGCCACTGCTGCTGCCACAGCATTCACAGATTTACACATCATCCTGGTTAAATTGACTTACACATTCGCTAACACTCTGTAAGGGGCCGTGCTTACGCATGATCATAACCCCGTTCTGCGTTCAGCCTGTGTAAACGATTATGAAGTTGGTTTAAATGATCGCGTAGCTAGTGCAGACGATCTGTGAAGACAGTCGTACATCCGTGAGACGACGATTCTACTGTTGGTATAGATTATCGTGCATCCGTGTAGACGATCGATCATGCGTCCGTGTAGACGATCGATCATGCATCCGTGTAGACAATCGATCATGCATCGGTGTGTCGATGATCGATCATGCATCGGTGCATCGATGATTGATCATGTATCGGTGCATCGATGATCGATCATGCATTGGTGCGTTGATGATTGATCATGCATCGGTGCGTCGATGATTGATCATGTATCGGTGCGTCGATGATTGATCATGCATCGGTGCATCGATGATGCGTCGATGATCGATCATGCATCAATGATCGACCATGCATCGATAATCGATCATGCATCGGTGCATCGATGATCGATCGTGCATCGGGCATCGATGATCGATCGTGCATCGGTGCATCGATGATCGATCATGCATCAATGATTGATCATGCATCGGTGCATCGATGATTGATCATGCATCGGTGCATCAATAATTGATCATGTATCGTGGATCGATGACGATCATGGCATCGGTGACAGCGATGATTGATCATGGCATCGGTGCATCGTGATTGATCTTGCATCGGTGCATCGATGTTTCATACATCGATGATGATCATGCATCGGTGCGTTGATGTGTTTTACAGAGCAACGCTCATGAAGTCGCATGCCGGCTCCCTCACGCTGTCCAACCTCGACACGGTCAAGCTGCCACGACAGCCGCGCATACACGCGCAGCTGCTGCCATACGCCGTGCTCATGAGCTGGCCAGACTCGCCGAACCAACAGCTACGCGCAGCTGATGAAGGTAGGGGCGTCAGGAGCCCGCGCGGCGATCCGCCGGGGGGGGGGATATTTTTGATACGTTAATGCTTTGCACTAATAACTATAATAATACGACGCTGAAGATAATGACATTAGTGACAACAATAACAACAACAACAATAATGACGACGAAGACGACGACAACAGCAACCGCAAGCAACAACAACAATAATAATAACAACAACAACACTACTACAACAACCATTATAACTGTACACGTACTGCAACTGTAATGGTAAAAAATCGAAATCCGTATTGTAGAGATAATTAGTAAAGCTAATATGCTACGAGTGTTTCTCTTTTTCTCCGCATCTCTTGCCGAACTTGAAACATTCTATCGGTGGTTACTTAAAGCTTTGTATTTTACAGCTGTATATAACATCGGTGAACAAGATGTACGAGAGAGAGGTGCGGCATTTCATAGAGACGGCCAGGATGAGTCTAGTCGGGCGCGGAGCGAGAGGGGCACAGTAAGCACCTTCTCGTTTTTATGTATTTATCTTTATTGGTTTTCTTCCTTCTTTTTACTTTATTTAGTTTTTATGCTTATTGTTATAATTGTTCTTATTCTCTCTTTATTAGCTTGTTGTTTATGTTTCTTACTCGTATTTTTTTTTTTGGTGTGTTTGGATAGGGTGTTTTGTTTTGAGGGCGAAGTGATGTTTTGGTGATCTGTGTGGGGGTGAGGTAGCGCTGTAACTATGAGTATTGATTTTCAAAGTCGGGAAGTGTGTTGCGGTGGTTTGTGGTGTGGTTATTCTGTGGTTATGATAATGAAGAGATGTGTTGCTCTGGAGTGAGTGGGTGAATAGTGGCTTTTCGGTTCGAATATTCTGTAATGTGGGGGTGTGGTGTTGTTGTATGGGGGTTAGGGTGGTGAGAATGGGTGATTGCTTTGAGGTTGTCGGGGGTGTAGTATGTGTGAGGGTGGTGTTGGGTTGATGTGCTCTTTGTAGAGACAGCATCGCTGTTGAGGGGGGGTGGGGTGTAGGGGTTAGGGTTGTGATATGTGAGTCTTGTGTGGTCGTGTTTTGTTAGGTGATTGGCCGGGGTGTTCGGTATATGTGTTGGGCCGCTTCCTCTTCATCAAGGTCTACGGGGTTGGTGGTGGGGTGGGTGGTGGGGGTAGGTGGTTTGGCTAGGTGGGAGCTAGCGCGTGCCAGGTAGGATGGGATGGGTTTTTGCGGAGTCGCTTCCAGGTTTCACGCGGTTGGTATGGTGGTCGGGGGTGGGGGTATTGGGGGGTGTACAGGTGGGGCTTGCGTGGGTCATTAGAGACAGGGGTGAGTTCCTTCGACCCCTTTTCTTCTCTCCCCTGCAGCGGCGGGGCCCCCGGCATCTCGGCGCGTTTGCGATTTCGCACGTGCGGCTCTTCTCCCGTCGTCCGCCATGCGGTGGCGAGGGTGTTGGGGGATGGGGTCGCGACGGGACCAGGGGAGACAGCCGCGAGTATCGAGGCCCGCACCGGCGGAGCTCGATAGATCCTCGCCTGAGATGGAAGCCGATGTGCCTCGGGCTGCAGCAGAGTTTGCACTCAGCTGTCGCGAGGTGTTGGGCGTGTGGGATGAGGGGAGGAGAAACCGCGTGCGCGGCCGGTCGCTCCATTTATGGTATGTGTAGTATATATATTTGATTTTTTATTTATTTATATATTTTATTATTTTTTTATTTTATTTTATTTTTATTTTTATTTATCACAGCAGAGACTGTGAGGAGGATAGTTTGTCACGAAATGTTCTTCACTGAGTGTCTGCTAGTGTGCATATAAAGTGTGTCAGTGTGTGTGTGCGTGCGTGCGTGCGTGCATGTGCTAGCATCTATGTAACGTTTTTATAACGTGTGTGTGTGTATGTGTATGCTAGCGTCTATATAAAGTGTGTATAACATGTGCATGTTGACCGCAGCAGCAGGACGTTGGGCCGGACGCCTCTCCCATGAAGAAGGCAGGAATCACGGACGAGACGCGTAAGCTCATGCTGGAGCTGTTCCCCAACCTGGAGACGGACCTACAGAAGTTTCTGGATGCCGCGTATATGGTCGATGGCTTGTAAGTGTCATTCTCCTGTCGTCACCATGGGTTTCCTTCTCAATTTATACGTCTGTGAGGTCTCATAGTTGCCGTGTCATCGAGAGAATCCTATGCGTATCATTTTACGTATTGTTACTATTTTATCTATACTATACTATACTACACTATATGATCATACTCTCATACTATGCTATATCTATACTATAGTACTTCTTACTATAGTAAGTAGAATATCATTTTAAGACCGTCGTTTTAAGAGTTAAGTTGCAAGATAAACTGAGGATGATAAATTTCGCCTTCTGTTAGACGAGTGCAATATTTTTTACGAGATTTTCATGTCACGTCTTTGTCATGTTGCGTTCTTGGACATTGACGTGTGTGATGGCCTGGTCATGTTCTGATTGGGTTGCTTGCAGTTTCTCGCTGTACATGCTGGTGAGAGTCAACCAACACGTCATGTCCACACAGGATTCCGGGTCTTTTCTCGGAAAAGTCCTGGCAGCGTGCCAGCTCCAAACCAAGCGAAATTTCGACAAATTCATGGTACGTTATTTCGGTTATCTGTGTCAGGAACGCACACCTAGAAACCCAGTTTAGTCATACAATACTTTGCTAGTCAGGTTTAAAAAACCTCTGATATTTATTTTAGTAGTTAGTACTATGTACTAATAATAAAAAATTGGTTTGTTTTGTCTCAAATCTGGGATTACCGACAATGTAAGGGAGCTATCTAGTTTTAGCCTGCTGCTGGTATGTCTTTAAACAAACCAGACTGAATAAATGATGTTTATTTCTGCATTAATATGTTTTGTTATTTCAGAAATCCCAGATTAAGGCAATAGAGGATGCGAAGGTGTCAAAGAAAACTCGCTGTGGCATCGTGTCATTCGTAGCAAATTTTGCGGTAAGTGCGACAGCTTCCAACATGTTTTTATATTCTATAACAAGTGCTTGTGTGTTACAACCGAGATCTATGTCACCACCATTAACATCTGTTAAAGTTTTTTGTTCACTTTGCATCAATACATGGTCACCTTTAAAAGTGAATTCGATAGGACTTATATCCACTGCATATATTTATATCTCGAAGCTACATTGACGTTTCAATTAATGATTTTTTGAAGAGTTTTGAGTAGTTTGAATGTCATTTATGAGAGTAGATTTAAGAATTTAGACGATCCCCATACATGCGCGTCACTTTGAGGAAAGTGAGCCTCACATATAAAGCCACGGTCTCATTGGCTGGCCATGTTAAAACGCTTAACACTACAAACATAAAGATGCAGATAGATTAGACTTCCACATGAGTAGACAGTCGATCGGTTTGTCGTATAACATCTGCCATGTTGTACGAATAACGAACGCTAATATAATGTAATATAATATAATAATGCTAATGTAATATAATGGAGCGCTGCATACTCTGCTCAGGATTTCGCAGCGAGAGCCGAGGTGACCTTCAAGGGATCGGACCGACACTCCGACCTTCAGAAGTGGTTCACACAGATCGTGAGGGCCATCTTCAGCAACATCGTGAGGATCGCTAAGGAACATCCGAAGACCCCTCAGGAACTAGTGATGTTAGGTGCGTGGTGTCGCCGAAACACAATCTCTTCTTCTTATATATTTTTTACACATATATATTATTTTTTAATGCTTTTTCTCATTTCAATACGGTTTATGTGATAATTATTTTACAATTGATCAATTTAAATGTCATATTATTAAATATGATTGTAGGTTGTGATTGTGATTTAATTAATTTTCTTTTATTAATGTGGTATTAATTCGTTCCAGAAAATTTCCATCACATGTTTTCAAGTCTATCACGACTGAAAATCGCGAGTCTGGAGAACGAGAGAAAGGAAGCCAAACAATACTACAACGAACAGCTCGCTGCATACGTCACTGCCTACTTAGGGCGCCCTCTGGAGAAGTTAAATGTAAGCTATGCGTGTTACTACGCGTGTTTGTTGATGTGCCATATATGGCAGCCATGCTACAACGTTGTGTACGTACTTTCGTGATGCAACGTACACGTTCACATCGTTAGCACACTCGTTACACATCATTTAAACTGTCGTGGATACAGACTAAAGCTCATAATACATACTAACCTATTATCAGCTCTTGATACGGGTAGGTTACCGATAAGTTTTACGCGAGTAAACAGTCTTGCATTTGTTTGATGGTCAATGAGTCTCTATGCATAAGTGAGTTTCGTGTTTGTTCGATGGTCACAGGCGGGAGTGAGTGAAGCTTCATTTTTCATGTCACTGGCAGAACCTCTTCTATGGGGTTCAGGTGGTAGTGCTGCATGGCGTGAACATATTCTCATCGTCACACATCATTTAAATGTCATGGATGCGGAAAAAAGCTAATAATACATACTGATGTACTAATAATGTTAATCCGGTAGGTTACTGATAAGTTTCCGCAACTCAGCAGTTTCCAGTTTGTTCGATGGTCGTCGAGTCTCTATGCACGATTGGGTTTCACGTTTGTTCGATGATCACAGATGCGAGTGAGTGACGCCTGATAATTTCATTCGCTTGCAGAATTTCTTCGACGGGGTTCAGGCGGTGGTTGCGCGCGGGGTGAAGGAGGAGGAGGTTGGGTACCAGCTCGCTTACAACAAGCAGGAGCTGCGGAAGACCCTCAAGGAGTACCCGGGAAAGGAGGTGAAGAAAGGTCTAGACAATCTCTACAGGAAGGTGGAGAAGCACCTGTGTGAAGAGGAAAACCTCTTGCAGGTATGCTAGCGGCCCTTGAAAAACTCCTCTTTTTAAGCTCTTCTGATCGAAGTAAACTACGGGAAAATCTATCTTGTAAAAAATTATAATTACAAAAAAAATCCTCAGTTACATATACATACAATCAAGAGTAGATAATAACACATTGTGTTATTATCTACTCTTGATACAATACATTAAATACAATATAATACATACAATACAATATAATACATACAATACAATATCTGTTACAATACATAAAAACTAGTATCCCATCATCTTCTATCTTGGCCAGATCTTAAAGATAATATAAAGAAATAGAATAAATAGAATTTAAAAAAATTGTCCATCTTATATTAAAACTACAAAGTGAAATGCAGTATCCCATCTTCCGTCTCTGCCTCACATCCCTCACCCATCATCTCTTCCCCCCCCCCCCCCGTATTCTCGTCGGTTTTAATCTCGCAGGCATGCGCGACTGAACATCTCTGAACAATTTGTCATCGGAGCAATTTGTGCATATTAAAACCACAAAATAAGACGTAATATCCCATCTTCCATCTTTGCCTCACATCCCTCATTCGTCTTCTCTCCCGTGTTCTCGTGGGTTTTAATTTTGCGTAGCGACTCGCAGCTGAACTGTCGCCTGCCCCTGTCTAAAAACTGTGCTAAACTATCGTCTGCCGCTGCCGTCTCTCTCTCGCGCAGGTCGTCTGGCGGTCGATGCAGGAAGAGTTCATCAGGCAGTACAAGCACTTCGAGGACCTGATCACTCGCTGCTACCCCGGTGCCAACATCACGCTCGACTTCACCATCAACGACATCCTAGACTACTTCTCAAACATCGCGCAGCAGCACTGAGCAGCCAGTGGGCGCCACGTGTAGCTTCGGCGGTACTACGTCAGAGGGAGCCACGTGTAGCAGCGGCGGCGATGCTACGTCAGAGGGAGCCACGTGTAGCGGCGGCGGCGATGCTACGTCAGAGGGAGCCACGTGTAGCGGCGGTGCTACGTCAGAGGGAGCCACGTGTAGCGGCGGTGCTACGTCAGAGGGAGCCACGTGTAGCGGCGGCGGCGATGCTAAGTTAGAGGGAGCCACGTGTAGCGGCAGTGCCAACGTGTATGAGCAGCATTACCCGTAACCACTAGAGAAAGAAATAGCAGCAATTTCTGTGGCAATTTCCATGGCAAAAGTCCAGCGACTCTTACCGTTGCAGTAATCTTTCAGTGAAGACATAGATATTTGCTCAGTCGACACGTCACGTAAGCTGCAGGCTTCATCTTTTTAACTAGACATTGCTTGTATTAGCAAATAACGCTTGCACTGTCCTCTATCCACTCGTTTTCCACGTAGAAAAATTATTACCATTGAGATACTTAGAACCAGCAGTTAATTAGAAAACAAGGAAATCAATCAACATTATGTGGTAGATAGTGCAGTGAGCAGTGATCATGACGTTTTTAATTAAATACGAGTTGCTTTTATCGTTATCAAGAACACATCAATTCGCTATTGATATCCGTGTAGGATCATTATTTTCTTCAGAGTCAATGGACGATAGGTACGCACACGAGTTCCAAATGCACGCTGTAAGATTAACATGGCCAATCATTGAACCCAGTAATCGAACGTGTGCACACTGTGTGGCCAATCATCGGAATATGAAACGGCGATCTAATACGTTACTTATCGACAATGAAGACACGCGCGCACACCAGCGTTGGTCGCTCACCGTAATCCGCATGCTCACAGGCTGCGTGAGACTTTCATGTGGTAGAGAGCATCATTCTAGTTGTCGCGAACGACGTATGTGCACGACTGTGAATTAAATTTTGTTTTGCCACGAGAGACATCTCTATCGCGTGATAGAGGCGGTAACCTTGTTAATGGCTCCAAGTGATTCATGAGCCTTCATGGCCTGATTTGACTCGTCATGGTTATCAGTACGTACTTGATAGTGTTGAACAAGTGAGAGACTGTTGATCACGTGATAAATTAATTCACAACGACGTTTACGGAGGAAAGTGGCTACAATTTATACGTCTGTATATTATCTACGATTATTATTATTATTATGTTTGACATTTATATATGCAGAGCGTTTCATTTACCAGATGTAAGTTATTTTGTTGAATGATGGTAATGCTTTTCTTGTGCACAATGAAAGCATAATAAAACTCACTGTGAATGAAATGGCTTTTTTCTCACGTTATTTATGTACAATTTGCAAGGATAGTAACTGTTATACATGCACCTGCGAACAATATCGAATATACATGATACATGCACATTTACATTATAAAGATCACGACTTCTTAACTATTCTGTTCACCATGTCAAATAGAATAACTTCCGTCGTGAACTCAAAATGGTTTACATGATTCAATGTGAAACGACACAGAAAATTATTTACATGATTCAATGACTCAAAAGACTCCAGAACGTATCTTTAGCCTCCCACGCTCCATATTTACAAGTTAAACCGGAACTCTCCCACAGGCAAGTGAAGAAGGAATAGCGGCCATGCACGATCCTCATTTCTACGAGACCCCTCTCAGGAAACTTTCCTCTTCCTCGTTCCTCAGCATCTCAGATGCCTGATCGTACTGCAAGAGAGGAAGCCAAGATCAGGAAGGCGTTGACATAGACATCGTGGTTACGAGTATCACGCGCCTGAAGTGTAATATCTTTTGCATAAAACTTCACTTCGAAAGTTACATTTCAGACTTGATGCTATAACTACTCCTGATGTTTCTGACAACGGTCTCCGGATCAAATGATTGATTGATTGATCAATTAATTAATTGAGATATTGATTAATTGACTGATTGATTGATTGAACCAAGAGAAAGGGCTCGAAATAACAAGGTGCATGAAAATGAAAGAACCGTGCCACGAGTGAAACGCGATACCTCGTCTTGTTTGACCTTCTCTTCCTCCGTAAGCTGCTCTAGAGTCTGCTGGAGCCTTTGCTGCAAGAAAGAAAAGAAGAGTACGAAAAACTAATCGATCGGATCACATTTGAGCGAATCGAATCAATCGAAAAATCCTCACACTCCTCTGCGGGGAAAGAATTCAAAGGCGAAAACCATCACCATCAAAGGACCCAGTTTGCGTTCCCTCAACTCATTATCCCGGCCCGGCGACCTCTGTAGAGCGCACCACTCACCCGTAGCGCTTCGTTGTCAATTGTTTCGATCTGCAGCTGCTGCGCGCGTCGCCGATCCTTCACGCCCACCAGCTGGTGCCCTACGTCGTCCACCCGCTTCTGCAGCTCACTCTCGCCATCTAGCAAACAAGAGAACGTTGAAACGCGGCGCTATTATCATTTAAATTTAGCACAATTAGCAGCACAATTAAATTTTAAAGTAGCAATTTGCTTTTTGAATAGGCTAAAATTTTATTTTGTCTGATGAATAGGTACTGTCATGCCCTTATCCAAAAGGAGAGAGGGAAGGGAGCGAAAGTGAGAGAGAGAGAGAGAGAGAGAGAGAGAGAGAGAGAGAGAGAGAGAGAGAGAGAGAGAGAGGAGAGAGAGAGAGAGAGAGAGAGAGCAGAACGAGAGCGCGAGATAGAGCTGAAGAGAGAGAGAGAGAGAGAAGAGAGATAGAGAGAGATGAGAGAGAGAGAGGAGAGAGAGAGAGAGAGAGAGAGAAAATGAGAGCGGGCGAGAGAGAGAGATGAAGAGAGAGAGAATCTAAAACACTCAAAATTTATAGAACATCAGAACTCAAATTTCCTCTCATATAAAAATCAGCAACAATATTAGGACACAGGTGAGAACTCCATTCTATCAACCCCTCCTCCCCACGCGCGAGCTTGCAATGGCGTCCCACGCGTTACCGTTCTGCGGTGGTGGGGAGAGTTCGGCTAGCCAGTCCTCTGTTTCCTCCTCCGCGCGATCCTCGTCCTCCTCCTCCTCGAGCCCCGTCGCAGTCTCACTGTGTGTGTCCTCCTGCGAGAGAAGCCATGCTGGTTCGTTAACACTACATACCGTCAATATTCAGCCACTGGCGCCCGCGGTGGCGGCGCGGCCTCGGGCGAGGAGGCTTCTGGTGCCGGGAGACACTCTCCTCGGTGCACCGTGATCAGACACCCGGCCTCGTCTGCACAATGGCCAGCAAGTAGGCAACATATAGATCCCTCACCCCTACAGCAACAGGCACCTACCTTCTTAACACTGTCATGCCCAATCGCAACAGGCACCTACCTTTATTTACACTGTCTCTCTGCCATAGCAACAGGCAGCCAACCTTACTTAACAACTGTCACTCCATAGCAACAGGCACCCTACTTACTATAACACCATGTTACAACTGTCACTACATTACAACAGGCCACGCTAACTTACTTAACTACTGTTACACTGTCACTACCAATAGCAACCGGCCAGCAATCCTTACTTAAGCACTGTATGGCCCATAAGCACAGGCTCCTACCTTACTTAACACTGTCACTCCCATAGCAACAGGCAGCAACCTTACTTAACACAGTTACACTGTCACTCCCATAGCAACAGTCAGCAACCACAGTGTAGTCACCCACATAGCAACAAGCACCTAGCTCGTCATCTAACAGGTCTCCCATAGCAACAAGGCAGCTGCTACCTCGACACCGACGTCCCCCATAGCAACAGGCACCTAGCTCGTCATCAACGTCTCCCATAGCAACAGGCACCTACCACAACACCCACACCCCTATAGCAACAAGCAGGCAGCTACCTCGACACCAACGTCCCCATGGCGTGTGCAAGAAGGTCTGAAGTCTGGATCGGTCCCTGGCTGCTTTCCTCATCGTGAAGGTCCATCACGTTAATCTCCGCCTCATCCTCTGACGAGCTCACTGCTTCTCCGAATATGTCCGATATCGCTGCAAGTAACACACTCGTTATATTGTTCACCGCCCACGCGCAGACATTCAGCTCAATATATTATATATATATATATATATATATACATATATATTTATATATAATAATAGTTAGCTCAAGAAGCTAATAAATACCTAAGAGTTGTACCAACGGAAAAACGGGAAAATAGTGCTTTATTTCAGCGACAACCTTATTCTACTTTGCCTGCGAGTCATATAATTTCATGTATTTGCATTAGCAGAAATTCTTTGCTCTCATAAAACAAGACCAAGCCGTTGTCAATACGCATACTCGCTAGGCGGGGCGAGGGGAGATAACGCTCCTAAACTCCCCTCCCAACATGCGCAAATCGTCACATCGTAATACACTTCTGTCCGTATCCTTCACGCGGAAGCGTTTGCTTCGTGCGAGTTTCTCGGATTTTTCCGCCACACTAAATTTTATGAATGATTTTCGGGTGCAGGTGCAGGGTGGAGTGATTCGGGGCATCGCCTATGCCCTTATCTCCCATTCTTTTCTAGCACGGCTACATGCCCGTCATGATGGAGCCCGCAATGTTTTTTTAATTAAGTCTTTACAAGCGCTGCTAGTAAGAGTTACCAAATTTGGCATGTGACAAATTATCAGCGGCTCGCAGAGCGTGACGGAAACCGATAGCCGAAATGCTTAAGACGCGTGAAGGATACGGACAGAAGTGAACTTCGAGTCGACCGTTTGGCATGTGGGAGGGGAGGTTTAGGAGGCCAATATCTTCGCCTAGGAGTATCGTATTGACAAGACGTTGGGTCTTGTTTTAGAGAGCAAAGATTCTGCTTAATGCATATCATAAAAATTATTTTAGACTCGCCAGGCAAAGTAGAATACCATCAATCGTCGTGAAATAGCACTATTTTCCCGTTTTTTCCGTTGTACACTCTTAGGTATTTATTAGCTCTTGATTAGACATATATAATATTATAATATTACACCTACTAAAAACCGCAATGAAGCTTCATTACTATGTGCCCCAATGACTGGAAGGATTGAGATGTTTGCCGAAGATCGTGCTTCATTATTAAAACCTGTGGTGAAGATAGTACTACTCAACGCTAACTTTGACTAGCTGATATTGTCGGGAACAGTAGACTAGAGGTGATGACTCGAGTAAAATATAAAAGCATTAAAACATCACGTTCATTCCAGCAACGCAAGCTCACGTAAGATAACAACCACATAACAAACCCGAGTACACAAGGATGCGCGAACAAATCGCATCGAATCAAAGCAAATCATCTCCTCACGACATCCAACATCTCTTCCAACTCCGTTCCATCGCTCACCGACGTCTAGTAGGTTGGCTTTGGATGCTTTCGGCGACAGCGTGATGATGTTCGTCGTTTCGCCGGTAGATATGGGCATGCTCTCCTTCTTGTCGCTGTCCTCCGTCACCACCTCCCAGCGCACCTTCACAGCCTCATTGTCCAGCTTGAAGAGAGCCTTCACTTCCTTCTCCACGTCCGGCTGTTCGATGTACTGCAACACGCAAACACGCAGAGGCGATATATGAAAACCGAGTGTAAAGAACCATAAACGCTCATTCAAATTAGCCATAGGTAGTGTATATATTATGTCATATATACTGTAAAATCCTTTTTTTCGTGGGGTTCTAATTTTCGTGGATTTCGTGGGTCCATCAATACACGAATTTATGTACCTAACGAAATATTATGTACATATGTCAATTGCCGGTTCCGGAGTGGAGGCCACGAATTTAAGAACCCGCGAACATATATTTTTTATTGAAAACACGAAAATTGGAACCCACGAAAATAAGTGACTTTACAGTATGTTTGTTCGTGATAGATGGTTGCTAGATACGCGAAGTGAATTCGCTATGTGTTCAATACCTTCTTCCTCGCAGTCTTTCTGAATCGTCTCTTCCTGACATTCTTCAGTGGTGGCGTGACTAAGAAATAGACAAACATTCACACCTGAATATACCTGCTAGCAACTGCTATGTCAGCAATCTCAATGTGAAAGTGAAAGTTATGTCGGCAGCAATTTGTTAACGATATCATAACCCCTCGCAATTCCTGATTACCTTATATCAAACATGCCATGTCAAACATACCAAGTTTCACTGTTAGGGTTTGTGGATTAACGTGCATTTTGAGCCCAGCAGTCACTAATTAGGAACAGCCTTTAATTAGCTTAATTTATTCCAAACTCAACAAACCCTTTTCGCTGTAAAACAATGGTCAGATAGATGTAGGTAGGATGTGTGTGAGTGATACTTACTACCGTGGTTCCAGAGATATTTTTTATCCTCTTTCTTTTTATCGCGCTTCCTTCCCGTACCATCCTCATCTTGACTGCTCTGATCAAATGTCTCTTTACATATCACCATCTACGATGTACAAAAGTTCTCACAGCAACAAAGCAAATCTCTATAGGTCTCCTATTTCATGTGGTGAACGATTCCAGATTTACACAAATTTGCAGTATTCTACGCTAATAGTTATATTATGACGTTATCAAGAGCTAATAAACACCTAGAGTGTACAACGGACAAAGACGGGAAATAGTGCTATTTCACGGCACACAATATTATTCTCTTTGCTGCGAGACTAGTAATAATTTAGTCTCAATTTCAGAGCTCCAGCGCGACGGAAAGATTGATCCAACCCGCAAAAGGCGAGACGGATAGTGAATATTGTGGTATGCAAGGCTTGTGGGAAGCATGTTACGCTCAATATCGCCCGATAGGAGTATGTATAGCAGGCGGTTGAGTTTATTTTTAGAGAGCCAAAATGTCTGCTAACGCAAATACCATGAACTGGTTGAACGCATACAAGTAGAATAATATTGACCGTGAATAGCACTATTTCCCGTTGTACACTCTAGGTATTATTAGCTCTTGAGTAAATTTATTATATGTTCTGAAGGATATCGTATGGAAATTGATATCGCGCTCTTTTGATTTTTACTATGCCATATAGTCCGAAAGAACATTAGACTTAGCCCACAATGAGCGACGTTAGCGGTGAGGTTATTACTCCGATTCAGCACGAAGGAGGACAGGTGACATAATTACGCGCACAGCGCAGTACACGTCAAGATCGAATATCGGTTATTAGTCTATGCACGTCGTAATTCTGTAGTGACTCCCTGGCGTATATTCTCTATTTAATAATCTGTTTAAATAACTTGAAGGAATGGTCTAAGCACCTACCTAAGTACCACATGCAAGCCTGGATCAGGTCATGCGGGACTATGAACCTGGTAGTGGGTCTGAAATGGGGATACCTGACCAAATGTAGCCGTTTGTAGATGGGTTTTCCTATCGAGGGTTCTTGTGTTTCTCGTATGTACACGGCAATAGCGACCGCTTGCAAGAGAACAAATGCCAAGCATTAAACAAGGACATTGGATTCACTTTGCACGACGACTCGGTCATTCTTTTCCACGACACCACGCACGCACGCACACACACAACACAAGCCACCACACGCAAAAACACACACCCACACAACACACCTTTCAAAACAGCAATACATGGGGACGAGCCTAAGAATACGACGTTTACTCCGTTTAAGCGACACAGTGGTTGTGTTCGCGGAAATCGTCGAACGGGGAATGCACCTTGGCAGAGAAGACCATGCCATCGAACCTGACCGTTCCGTTTCTCATGTCCGGCTGAAGCTCTATCGACATTCTGTCCTTCAGGTTCATGGCTCCGGACTGGACAGCTCTGCGCAGCTGCTGGGCCGCTCCCTAAACACACGAGAAAAGTTCACGTATACATACTTTATAGAATCCAATCATATCGAAATCTCTGGTGTACGGGCAGACGTGTGGTACATTAAATTCATAACTTTTGACACCAACACCGAGTGGAGTGGACACGTAACATTGTTTATTTTTGGGGAACATATCTGATCATATTACTAGTACTAACAATAAGCAATAACTTGTTTTTATCACTTGGGTGGTGACAATGCTTTTTAATGCCTTATCTTGACTCAGTGACTGATGTAGACTCGAATTATGAATGAAATAATTTGACAAAAACAAAGCCAAGGGTCACTGCCGCTCATAGGGTCTATGTCCCAGGGTACTGCGAAACGTACCGGTAGGTACGGCCCGGATTATAAGCAGAAACGTACCCTGGGCTACGCGTACGATATATACCGGAAGTACGCGTCGTAACTATCTGATATTGGTTTAGGTTAGTGTCTGATGAGTAGGCGATCCCTTAGGACTATGTTTGTGACGTAGTGCGAGGGTACGGTTCCGGTTATATTAGATGTACCAGCGGATAATAAATCACGTTGTTTATATGCTCTGGTACCAGGGTACGTTCTGGCAGTACCCTGGGGGACATAGACCCTCTCAGCGTCACTGCCATGCCCATGTGCATCATTTGCACCATACAGGCATACTAAGCTAGCGCCAGCCGATCACTTACCAGAGGAAGTCGGAGTATGAACTGACTCTCAAGCTCAAATACATCCTCCCTTTTTTTGAATTTGTCAAGGGAATGTGTTGGCTTAAACATCACGAGTTGTAATACTTGTAGTTACACAAACAACCGAACAAACTCCAAAATTACAATTTACAAAGTAGACAGTAGGTCCTAGTCAGTACTGACGGCTGAGAAGACTGACGGAGTAGACTGAGAAGTACTGAAAAATCACTGAACCAAGCAATTCTGCACCAGTAAAGACATATATAATGATATCTTGCTATGGTTCGAGTAGAACCATCAACAATCTACAATAGTCTCGGTTGTAGCATTCAATGATTCATAGAAATAATAGAAATTAGTGGAAATGAACAGGATACAGTTTCGTGTAAAATCAGTAGATTTCTGTGCTATCGTAGCGCCATCTGTGGGCTAACAACACAATCTACGCGCGGCAACAATCATGTATTCCAACAAACGTTTTTTCTATTATTACTACTTATAGAGTATATATTATCTAGAAGTAAGTAAGTCATTACGCTGCTAAATCTCGCGTCTGTTGACCTATGCGTCTATGTTCTTTGTATTTTACTAATGTTTTATTATGGATTATTTTATTACCATATCACATTCTTACGTACATATGCTTCCAGGAGTTAATGAGACCAAAATTTTTTGTCATATAACGGTATACTTGATATAGTAATATATATAAATAGTTTAGATAGTATCAAGTACTTGAGCAGATAAGGCGTTGGCTGTTATGTCAGCGCAAGTGAACGACGGCCCGCTTGTCTGCGGCGGATGAAATTAAGGACGACATTATTTTATTCAAGCATTGATATCTTTGTGCGGATTAAGAAACGACCGTTTTGGCTGCTACTATACTGTCTGGAGTTGAACACTGTTCGCTACGTTACGAGCGTGCAGGAAGCTTTCAATAATATATATGCCTAAATAAATACGAAATTTATATATTAATAGTTGTTCCAGTGTGCAGCAGTAGCGTGCCCGGCAGCCATCCGTGTGTTTTGCAGTATGTGATTTGAGTTTTACAGGAAATTGCAATAATAGGGTGAAAGAGAGGTAGAGAAAAATTATGACTTATGGTAGTAAATAGATTTCGTATTTATTTTAGCATTATTTTTATTTGAAACGTCCAGGTGTCCTGTGAGGGTACATGAATCGTAGAACATCCGATACTGACTTTCAGCGTAACGACAGATATATGATAAACCGCACGCTCTGCGGCGCTTTGACACGTACGATGTTTATGTTGTGTTTAATGCGACAATAAAATCTACTAGCTTCTCGTGTCCTTGAGATTCTTTATCCGCGATCGTGATCGTTCTGCACCCATGCCTCCCTTTCACACTGGACATGCGCTCTATCCTTGAGCCGTTCTTAGCAGCACTCATTCAACCCACCTTCTCGCAAAATGTTCTGAAACTGATGTTTTTATCAGATGTTTGTCCTGGTTTGCTTGTGCCCAAAGAGGATGATGCCTGTGAGTAGCTTTTAGATGTGTGTGTGCTGCGGCGTAGTGTGCGTAGTGAATGCGTACGTGCGTGCGTGCCGTTCGTTGTGTGTGCATGTGTGTGTGTGTGGTGTGTCTGTGTGTGTGCAGCTGTGTGCGTCGTGCCGTGCGTGCGTGTCTGCGCGCGCCGTGCCATGGTGTGTACCCGACATGGTGTGTGCGTGCGTGGGTGCGGTGCGTTGCGTTTGTTTTTAGCGTGTTGTTTGTTGTGCTGTTTTCTAAGTTTCAAGCGCGTCCGTTCTGTCGTGCGGTGGGCATGTGATGTTTTTTGGATCTGTGGTTCGTGCATGCGCTGTGTGTTAGTGGTGCGTGCGTGCGTGGAGTCAGTTATTAAAGTGCATGAGATGGTTATTATATCGGCGATTGCGTTTACAAGGTACTTAACAATCAATAGCCACCTGACCGCGTTGTTGTTGTCTGCTGCTGCTGCTATTATTTATATACTACTGACTCCCTGCTACTCGCAGCTGCTGGCTTGCTTATACTACTCTATTGCTGCTACTGCTACTGCTGCTGCTGCTAATGCTACTGTTGCTTATACTGCTTACTGTTGCTACTGGCTGCTCATGTTGTTCGTGCTAATGCGCTACTAAGCGCGAAAAAAAAGGGGGGCGGGGCGCGCTGCACACACCTGGTCGCAACCTGTGTGACGTATATATTTCGTTGCCACGTGCGACAGCTCTATCATCGTCACCACGTATATACTGTGTGGTGTGTGTGAAAGTGATGTGTGTGTGTGATCTGTTGTGTGTTGTGTGTGTGTGGTGAGTGTGTGTGTCTGCTATGCCATCGTAGGCGGGCCTGGATTTGACTCATTCACCGAAACTTCGATCGTGTCTATGCGTAGAACCCGAGTTTCGAATTTGCCTCCACCATCACCACCGCACGAGCGAGTCGACTAGTAGTAGAAACGCATCATTGTGTGTAGCATAATGATTATAGTGTATAGTACGAATACATAACAACAAAGAGTTCAATACATCTAGTTTTACGGCTGTTGCAGTGGAGAAACACTAGTTGTGATGAGTTGTCGCACTGTATTAGGTGCTTATAATAACTTATCTGATAGAGTGAACATCTCTGGTTCCAGGGATTTCTGGATGCTGCTAGGATGCTGTGTGACACTGCATACATAGAACCCGAAGCTACCCCGCCCTACTATTTCTGGCTTCACAATTATCATCAAGTCTGCAAGGTCGTGCAGCGTCACGTTATGTAAGAGAGTAACTAATTAAGAGCTGGGTAAGTAACGTGTGTTCCTGTTGGCGTATATATACCTATATGTTTATACTAGTGATGTCACGATCATCGATTATACTCGATCATCGGATTGAACAGTGGCTCGAACAGGTTTAGCTTTGAGTTATCAAAATCCATAATCAATTTCATCAAAAAAAAAAATATATATATATTGACAACACTAGTATATACCCTTGTATAGCCGATGTTGCCCTGGCCCAGCAATGCTG